TACGACTACGACCACGACTACGACTCTACTACTGCCAGAAAAACTTAGCAAGCCTGGGGAGTACCTTAGACAGTCTCGAGGCCCGGGGCGCAGCGACTGCTTTGCAGCACGACTCGCGATGCATTGGAGGCTGTCGGAATTGACTGCATTTGGGTTTAGGGTCATTGGTGTTAAACTTCGGACTCCGAAGTTTGGTTTCCTGGCAATAGGGCTTATTAAGGTTAACATAGAGTCATTTCTTTTCCGATGTAGCCATCAACAGATGTGCTTTCTTGGTGTCATTTCGTGTGAAAACGGACGCCGCCGACCGTACAGCAGCATTGTTCTCGGGCGGAAGGGGGGGTGTTGGAAGGATTCTCAACCCCAAAGCCCTGCGCGTGGGGTCCTTAACCCTAAACCCCTAAACCCTAGCTGTTCTGTAGTCAGAGCCAGGCCGGGAGTTCTGAAAGCATCAGTTTTCAATATGGGCAGTTCGCTAAATTAGGTCCCTGTTGAGGTCCCTTTTAGGGTTTAGGGTAGTTCTCTAANNAAAGTAGGGTCCCTTTTTAGGTCCCCCAACATAGTACGGCACCCTTATAACAAGGACCCTAACAAGGGAGCTTATTTTGGAGAGCTACCCATATAGGGGTCTGAATAGTTTCCCATACTATTCTATTCCTTAGGGTTTCCCGGTGTAGCTACAGCAAACCCCCCATAGCAAATATCAAGGCCCCAAGAACAAGCCTAAGAACGCCCATTGCAAATTCTTAAGTACTCTTATGCAGGGGTTGGAGTAACTAGTAACAGCACTTTCCTTGATAGTCCCTACTGCAATCATCGTAAGTCTTGTGCAACAGCAAAGTCTCTGCCTCTTCTAGTTGTCAAGGCTCCACCAATGCAAGTTTTTGTGGATATCAACCCTAAACCCTAAACCCTAAACCCTAAACCCTATAGCATGGAGCCACGGGGACTTGGGGGTCTTGTCACTAATTATACGTGCGGCGGAGGTCGAGGTCAGGCTGTTATCTCGGTTTTCCGACACTGAGTTCATTCTGGAGTTCGAACACGCGTCGAGGTTTTTTGGGTTTGGGTTTTGAGCAAAGCCCCCTTCAACATCAGCTTGGCGACCCATGACGGACGAGGACGTCCAATACTTTTGCAGACAACCTAGGTTGGAGTTTTGATTCCGGTCTAATTTGGACCGTGGCTGCATCTCCAACGTGCAAGCTTGCAGGTTACGGCCTACAAGAATAACGATGACGAGATCGCCGTAGTAGCCGCTGGGCAGAGCAAGCCGCACTCCCTTGCGAACCCTCAATCCTGACTCGGAGCAACATGCATCTCTGACACATTCCAAGTAGGAAAGTTTTCGCGCGTACGCGTTCGCATGTGTCGTCATCTATCGACCCATCCATCTCTCTACTATGTTTCGACGTATTTGCGATCGATACTGTATTCGTGTAAACATGTGCATGTACATGAGAATGTAGTGGTTTGACACAGCTCGTTTCAATGTTGCACAGATTTGCCCGAAGGAAAAAACCTTAAAGCCCTTGAGGATCCACGAGTAAGCAGTCCTGAAGGCTCTTGAGCAAGGCTTGAGTCGGTTGCAGACTTTGTTTTTTTTGTTTTTTTTCTGAGGGTAGGGGGCGGTAAGAGTTCAAGGGTTATCTTATATCCCCCCAAAGCCCGACCTGTTTAGGGCTCGTGATTCGAGATTTTGTCCGAAAACAGGTAGGCTTTCTGGGTTAAGGTTCCGTTTAGGGTTCAGCTGCCAACTTGTGTGGACTGGGAAAAAGAGGCTTCATGCAGTTATGGGGGATGGGAGTAAGATGGAGTAACGGGTTCAGGGGTTGTGGATCGGAGAGTCAGGTGCTCAACCAAAGTGAAGAGCCGATCTCTTTCTGGCTGAAGGCTTCTTGACTGCAGAGTTTAGGATTCTAGGTTTTTTAGGAGTACCCTTTTGCCCTTTTTCTTTTTGGGTTCCTGTTTTGAAACCAAATCGTAGGAAAAAGGGTACCCTTATTATTAAGGCTTAACTCATAGTACCAAGGCCCCTAAAATTGAAGGTAGATTCCTTATTTAAGGGGTTTATTGGGTTCTCTGCGTAGGCACCTGATTAAGCAAATGGTTCCTTTAACCCTAGAAATATTGGGTTTTACGTAAAGAGCCCTAGTAAAGACCTGGAGTTTCTGAATCAGGTTCTATATGAGTTTAGGGTTTGGGGTTTAGGGCATAACGCCAGGGCCTGCAAGCACAAACGCCAACGCGAGACAAGGCTTCGAAAGCCAAAGGGGGACACACACCCTCGCTTCGGAAGGTAGTCAAGTCTTTCGGCTTAGGATTTCTAAGGTGCGCAAATCTCGGTTAAAACAATAAAGGGGTTCCTCAGCTGAACCCTAATTAATCCTAACCCTAAATCCTTAAACCGTGGCTCCACAAATCGGGAGTCCCCCCCAACCTGTCACTTCGCAAGAACCCTAAGCCCGAAACCCTAAACCCCGAACCCCAAGCAAGAACGTAACCAAAGAACTCAACTGCCGTAAACCCTTCTAGATCCCTTTAAGGAGCCCTTTAAGGTATGATTCCTGAGTTAAGGGGTATTGGCTCCCTGGGGCTTTGTGTGGTCAGCTTCATGCCAGCGCTACTTTATAGCCTTGGCCCTAGAAAATTTGGGTTTGATATAGGGGCCTGAATAATCACCTATACTATTTTGGGGGCTCCTTATTATAAATATAGTATAATATACCCCCCAAAACCCTATTCTAATTATTAAGGCCACTACACTAGGGGTTTAGGGCAAAACTACAAAGTCCTAAAACCTCGGCTTGCGCCCTAAGGGTCCAAGTACCTAATAATCATAGACTCTCCCGAATAGTAAACCTACATAACTACTACCAGAAACCTAAGTACCTGATCCCTAAACCCTAAAGCCTAAACCCTAAACCCTAAACCCATGAACCCAAAGACCCTAAACCGAAGCCCGACACCCTAAACCCTAAACCCAAAACCCATGAACCCAAAGACCCTAAACCGAAGCCCGACGCCCTAAACCCTAAACCCTAAACCCATGAACCCAAAGACCCTAAACCGAAGCCCGACACCCTAAACCCGAAGCCCTAAACCCTAAACCCATGAACCCAAAGACCCTAAACCGAAGCCCGACGCCCTAAACCCGAAACCCTGAACCCTAAACCCTAAACCCATGAACCCAAAGACCTTAAACCGAAGCCCGACACCCTTGCAGCTTCTGCAGGTGAAGGAGGGAGGTGAGCAGCGCGCAGCGGCACTTCTGGCGCCGGCGTGCCCCGAGGGATGTCTGTGATAGGGTTTTAGGGTTTTAGGGTTTAGGGTTTAGGGTTTAGGGCTTCAGGGTTTTAGGGTTTTAGGGTTTAGGGTTTAGGGTTTAGGGTTTTGGGGTTTTAGGGTTTTAGGGTTTCTATCAGGCCCTGGTGGTCATGTAGAGGCCTTCAGAATTAGAATGGGGTTTCGGGGTATAGTATACTAGAAGTATAATGAGGAACCCCCAAAACCCTATGCTAATTATTTAGGCCCTAAGGTTAGGGTATAGGGTTTCGGGATGTAATGTCTCGGATTGAACCCTGAATCTTGGGCCCTACTGCTGGGCTTTGGGTCTCGGGATTAGGGGTTCTGGCAGCCTTCAGATCATGGGATCACTGTTTCGAGGGTTTAGGGTTTATGGGATCACTTGTTCAAGGGTATCGGATGCAGGGTGGCTGGTCATCCTTAATGTAGCGTAGGGGTCAAGACCCTAAACTATGGGAATTATGGTATATTGCATTTGTTGTGGGTAATGCAGGATTTGTATGATCAGCCCTAGTTCAACGCTAGCCCTGATGCACGAAAACTGTGCTTCAAGGATCAGGGGACTCAGGCAGGCTATCAGCGCAGGTTTGGGGTTTAGGGTGTTTACGGTTTTTAGGGTTTAGGGGTTTAGGGTTTAGGGATGGGCTTTAGGGACATACTGTCGGCTCTGGTACTCGTAGCTCCAGTTGGAGACTACTTACTCATTCCCCATATAAAGGTCCATCGAAGTCAGCGCCAAATGAGTGTGCTAGCTGCTTTCCTAGTACTCGTTGATGTTGTTGCCATCACCACCAGAGTCACAGCCATGTCTGCCACCATCTTCTTAAGTCTTAGGTTCAATTAAGTTTGGCACAGCATCTTCAGTATCATCATCATCGTCATCAGCATCATCATGATCTTGAGATCTGTGCTTTCTCAACTGCGACATTGTTCTTGTACTGCGGCTCTACCAGGATGACCTAACTCCTCGATCTCGGCAAGCAAAGCAGGAGCAACACAATTCACCACAGGAACAATGTAAGTCTGCGAGCCGACTTTGTCCATAATTAACTGTAGCCGGAGCGACCATGGATCGTGCTGACCTTGATCGAAGCAGCAACAGCAGGGCAAGCAGCGTATCTGGAAGGTCTGTGCAATCTGGCCGAAGCTGGAACTCCCTATCGCCGGAAGAGAAAGAGCTGGCAAGTGACCTGCAGTCAAGGAAGTTCCTCCTAGAGTCGCATGCGAACTCTTATGGCACAGGAAGCGACAGCAGCAGCAGCAAGTCACAGCCTCGTGACAGGCTGCAAGATGCAGAGGCAGCAGAGAGAGATACTTGGCGTTATTCTTGTGGGTTCTTAGGACTTTGATTTTTTGGGTTTCTATATGAAGTATAACAAGTAGGTTAAAAGGTTTACTGTTAGGAGGGGTTCAGAAGTCAGCCAAGGA